ATTGATGATGCTGTCGAACGGGATACTGTAGTGAGCCCATGCCAACTATATCCAGGGGATTTATTCATAGAGGCTTACATAGATCGAGCCACACCTCGTGTAAAGACAGGCTGAGAAAGATCTCGAGTATGGACCCTGACGAGTTGGCTCTGGAGGTCATTCGAGCGTCGAGAGAAGTCCAACGTAGTCCGCCTCTTCGCTTGGTGGGGTTACGGTGGACTCATGGTGTTGAGGAGGCAGGGAAAGGACGAGCAGAGAAGTGGAGCATAGAGGCTCTGGCCGGCCTTGCTCAATGTATGGGAGCCGATATCATGGTGAAGATATTCAGGCACATACTCTCCGATATGGGGTATTGGGGAGGAGGCATGCCAGATCTAACACTCCGGCAAGGGCAGCGTGTACGCTTTGTGGAGGTGAAGGGGCCAGGGGACGATCTATCCGCAAGACAGCGTGGATGGATAGCTGAGCTCATGCGGTGTGGCGCCGATGCAGAGGCAGCGTATATTGTGGAGCCTGGCAAGAAGCGGCCTGTGAAAAGGAAAAAGAGGAGGAAATGATGACAAGTATGATAGAGGATAGTGACTGAGCACAGGGGCTATGCAAGAGAATTAGTCCTACTTCCTTCCTATCAATGACCCTTGTGTTACCAGTGGTCACATTGAAATGAGGTTATGCTTTTGGGCGCGCGCGATATTTACTGGCGCGTGACTATGTCGTATGAGAACGTTTTCTACTGGGCATCTCGTGACGAGATTCTCGTCATATCTATCCAGCATCGAAACATAAGGAGTGCAGGATATCGGCATGTGTGTAAGAAGTGATGAAGAGTAGTAATGGGGTTGAGCCAAAGTGTTTGGTTTACACCCTTCGGATGCCTTGTAGATAAAGAGGTCGGGTCTAGGGTCGTCTGTCCTACCCAATTCGACTGCTATAGGGTCAACTCCTGTAGTGACATTGGGGGCATTGATAACCATGATCAGCTCAGAGTGGTGTACACGGAGGTGTATACTCGTTAGAAAGAAGAGGCCAGTTTGGGTGGCTACGGTTGACAAGGATAGTACCAAATGGAGTGGTAGATGTGGATCTAGCTACGCGTTAGAGACCTATTCCGTACACGCTGGGCAATCGACCCTCTATTAGAGGTACCGTAGGGTACAGCAAAAAGGATGTGAGCATCGGAAGATAGCGAAATGAGAAAGTGCGCGGGTCCAATTCCACTCATGATGGTGCAGTGCCCGTCGGTGGAACTATTCAGCGTTCTGGTGAAGGCGGCTCACTTGCGTCATCCATAACACACCATGTACATTGTCACCGGAGGTGGGAGCTGCCGGTTATGGTAGAAGTATGCTGTCGCCTTCATGGTAGTATTATACGTAGCTTGGGCACATTCTTATAGTACTCAGAGAAAAAATACTAGACTTGACGGGAGTACACAGCTAGGGGGTGGGGAGGCCGCGGAAGTGGTCATGGTGTGGTAGGAGATCTAAGAGGACGAAATAGATGTGAAGTACATGTCATGATCCTCTATCTATGAGCCTTGATTTGCACTGATCATCATCCAATTGAGCAGTTGTTGTTGTTGTTGTTGAGTATGTCATTACTACTAGCAGTACTACCTTGTCGAGGCAAGGGGATCCTCACACCATTAGCCTCACCACACCAGTGCCGGTATCGTCATTTCCTTACACCTGGGCTCCATAGAAGGTGGAACTATCGCTCTTTCCCTCACCTAGGAGAGGCGATAAGGTTCGCTAGAGCGGTGAGTCTATTATGAGGCTTGTTGGCAGTGTTGCCGATACTCCAATGTTAGTCCAAGAAGATACCAGTGTCGAAGTTGATGCACGCGACGCTTATACCGGAACGCCGACTCCTACAGATACAGCAAGGCTTGGTGAAGCCACACCTCTTCGAGGTATGTGAGACATAGTAAAGCCCGTACTAGTATCCCTCTATCTAGTTACAAGTACTAGAGAAGTACTTGGGTGTGCCGTTCTATGACAAGAAGAAGAGGAATCAATCGTACATCGATCGAGCTGTTTGATGATACCATGATACGTGTTTCTGTGCTCATAGTGCTTGCCTTAGTTCTGCATAGGTGTCGGTCATGCGCTCTGAGGTCAGATTATTGCTCCCCTTGATGCGCTTGGCTTCCTTGTTTCTGTTCATCTTTGCGGCGGTCGAGAGGGTCTCTTGCTCCTATGGAGCCACTAGTCATCTCCCGTTGACCTTAGAATCTTGTAGATATGACAACGGAACCATTAGCGACAGCGGAAGCTGTCGAGATACCCCTAGCCATCATATAGGTGACACACTGTCGCACTGTCCAGTGCCTTACGAGGATCCCTATGGCGCCATGGGAGGACTGTGCTTGGAGCAATGGGGCATGATGGTATCGAGTGGTGGGGCCGACGACATAGGGGGCTCTCCTATACCTCGGAACGGTCGATGGCACATCGATTCTGACTACCATGCCTGCGCCGACAATGCTTATGGTGTACCTTCGACCTATATT